CCAACGGTTCGTGCACTTGCGAGTATCACAAGTTGAGGATGCAGCATAATCCATTTTGGTGGAGCTAAATCTACGAAACAATTATTCCATACAAGTGATTCGTGGAGAGGTTCAAAACCTCTAAATTTGTTAGGTTAGATATTTGGTCTGGAATGATGCCGGAGAAGTTGTTGGAGTCAAGAGCCAACTTGCGGAGAAGCTGCAATTGGCCGATCTCAGCAGGTATATAACCACTAATGTTATTCTTAGACAAATCTATCGTTGCTGGATAAAAATGTAGTGTTTGTGATGTAAAAGTTTGATTTCCAGTTTTGCTGATGGTGAAGCTGAAGGCAGGAAATTCAAATTCATAGTTGTCTACTTGAGATGCAAAATTAGGTTCATAAAGCAAACTTGGTAGTCGACAAAGTTGCTTTGGAAATTCACCTGAAATTCGGTTTTCTGACAAGCCTATATAAAATAGTCTAGGAAGAGTCCCCAACCAACTTGGAATTGGCCCTGTGATTTGATTAGAACGTAGAGCCAAGACCTGTAGATTCTTGAGCTTTGATAACCATAAAGGTATTTGACCAGTGAGGTTAGAATTAACCAAAGCCAAGATCCGAAGATTTTGGAATCCATGAAAATCAACCAAGTCATCATCAGATGGAATTCGCTCACCCACAAAGGAACCAGTAAGAAAGAGTGAGTGAAGACTTCTGCAACTCATCAATATCTTTATTGCCCCTGTGAGGTTGGTGAATTGGTTGAAACCAAGCGAGAGGAAGGACAAGGATTTCAATGAAAGTATCTCAATTTGAATTTGTCCCTCTAGATGATTTCCAGTCAACCGAATGGCTTTTAGGAACCTACATGAGTAAAGGCTTACTGGAACCGTACCAGTGAAGTTATTGATCATTAGGTCGAGTTTAGTAAGCTGACTAAGTCTTGAGAAATCAAGCACAGAGATGTCTCCTTCCAAGTGGTTTATTCCCAAATGCAGTTCTACAAGGTTTGTGCAATTCATCAAAGATGGGGGCAACGCACCTTCTAAATTGTTGAAATCTAAGGTCACAAACTTCAACTTGGAGAGCTTCCCTAAATTTTGGGGAAGCTCACCGCCAAACTGATTAAAGGAAAGGTCAAGGATGGCAAGGTTGGTGAGGTTGACAATTTTATCACTAATGGCTCCATGTAGTGAATTGAAAGGTAATGCAATATCTTCAACTTTAGTAGCATTATAAATATCTTCTGGAAATAATCCTGAGATGTTATTGTGACCGGCACGAAAAACCTGCAGTTTGGAACACTTCCCTAGCCCAGGAGCAAGGTTGCCACTAAATACATTGGAAGAAAAATCCAATAGCCTAAGGAAGGGAGAAGAATGTTGGAGACAAATAGAGGATGGGACATACCCTGTGAAGGTATTGTTGCTGACATTGAAACTAGTCAAATTGCTTGCTTGTTGGAAGAATGAAGATGGAATTGCACCAAAGAAGTGATTGCTGGACAAATCAACTGTCCGTGTATTAATAGATGGTAGAGAAAGTGGTAGTTCTCCAAAAATACGGTTATAGCTCAAATCAAGGATCTCAAGTTGATTCAAAGACAAGAAGAACTGAGTTTCAAGTGAACCATATAGTGAATTGTGGGTGAGATGGGTGAGATTTGCAAGTGAAAAAAGAGAGATACCTCCTTTGAGCCCTTTGGAAGGTAAGAGCAAACGGGTGACCCAACCATCTTGATCACAAGTGATACCCTTCCAACGACAGCAATCAAGGGATGTCCAATTTAAAGGAGGAGAAGATAGAGTGGAGGTAAAGGACAGGAGGGAGCTGCGTTGAGTTTGTTTGCAAGCATGAATATTTGTAGATATAATGCAAGAGAATAAGAAGAAGAGAAGGAAGTCATGAGCCATTAGTTTATAAGGCAGCACTATCATGTTGCTTTGTGTATGTGCCATTGCTCAAATGTATTTATATATATAAGAACAACCATGCTTGAAAACGATGCAAACCATACCACCACACAATGCAAATTGAGAAGTCGGGAAACAACAACCTCTGAATGCAAATTATTGATATTGAAACCTTTGTGGGCCACTAGAAGAGGACTTTGCCTTCACAAAGTAGTCAAAGTTGTTGCCGTGATATATCATATATGTTTTGACTATTTGCTTTTATTTTTAAGACAGCTGATAACTGATACCAGCTCATCTTCCATGTTAATCACTCTAAGTCCAAGTTCAAAGTTGTTTTTCTTGTTGATGATTCTTCTAAGAAATTCAAAATTGGACGATAGTCATTTTTTCCAATGATAGCAATAATGTGAACTTCCAACTAACAGCGATAATAAAATATTGATAGCAATAATGTTGATAGTTCAACTAACAAAGATAATAAAATATTGATAATGTTGATAGTTCAACTAACAACAATAATAAAATATTGATAGCAATAATGTTGATAGCAACAAGGCTTATCCTAAGGTTTATGAAACTATCAGATTGCATCCTTAATGTTTTTTTGTGTCATTCATGATTCTCAAGGTTAGTATGTGTGATCACAAATGGTCCATGATGTTAGGTTCCTTCAAAAACTCCGTTAGTTTGCTGACATGACATATATATATATATATACACAAATGGTCCATGCCGTTAGGTTCCGTCATGGACCATTTGTGATCACACATACTAACCTTGAGAATCATGAATGACACAAAAAAACATTAAGGATGCAATCTGATAGTTTCATAAACCTTAGGGACGTTTTGTGATAATAAGCCTAGCAACAATAATGTGAACTTCCAACGAACAACGATAATAAAATATTTATAGCAATAACTTTCCAACTAACAACTATAATAAAATATTGATAGCAATAATGTTCAACCGTTTGAGTGGGCACAACTTAACAACTATATTTAGCAATATTGCTAAATATATTGATGGCAATAAAATGAGCCCCAACATTCAAAAAGCAATTATGCGAACTTCCAAGGCTAACATTGATTGCCTAAGAGCACTTTCAGTAGCTAAGGCTGGACTCGGGCTGGGGGGTTTGGCCCAAAAAATGGTTTCCAATAGCAAGGGAAGGCCTGGGCAGGAGGTGGGGGCCACAAAACTGGGCTGGCTCGAGCCCGAGTTTTGGGCTAATGTCATTTCTGACGCCAGGCTGGTGTCAGCCCTTAGATTTGAATTTTTTTTTACCGCTGCACGCGCCAACGTTAAAAAAAAAAATTGCACTAGCACGCTACAGTTGCCGCCAACGGCTAGCAGCCACGTGGCATCCTCTGGGCTCTCCGATCGCTTTTTGTCCTCCAATCCAACGGCAGCCAATTTTTGTGCAATAAAAAAATGAAAAAAATTGAATTTTTTAAAAAAAAATACCCAAAAATGAATGACTTTTTATTTATTTATTTATAAATACCAACTAATACTCTTCACTTTTAACACCAAATCCTCATACATTTTCTTCTCCTTCAACTATTATTCACTTTCTACTCAATATTTTTTTCACTTTCAAGTTTTATTTTTCTCTATCATATTATGGCTTCTTCTATTGAAATCGGAGGAGCGTGGAGCATCATGAAAGATGTTTTGTAAAACAACTAGCAAAAGAAAACAAAATGTTCATAAATTATGAACAATAAGGATTGCAATGCTTTCTAAAAATTCACATTTTGCCCTCAACCACTATCATTTGAATCATCAAGTTTATTATTTTCCTATGCTGATGCAAACTAACAAGGCCAATCTCAAATTTCCTTGAAGAGAAAAAAAACAACAGGGCCGAGAAATTAAGCTTTCCTGAAGAAATTTTGATAGCATACAATTGTCAGTTAACAGTTTATATATGTTCACTAAAAACCAATAAAATTGACACAAACAAAATTCATCATGCCCAAGAACAAATCAAACTAAATATCTCTCAATTGGGTGAGCATTAGATGAAATGGAAGCCCGTCAGGTACAGCCTAATTGAGTGAGGTTTTGCCTACAAACTGTAGCTTTCTGCTGATGGGTTTTGGGGAAGTGGCCAGAGAAGAGCCGGCGATACTGAAGAAGATGAGAAGAAGCATCTGCGATGAAGAGAGAAGAGTTGGAGGACCTCACTTGGGATTGGCTGCAGACAGTCAGCGATGAAGTCTTGCCAGTGTATTGGGTTTTCTCGTGGAAGACCTCTAGCTCATGAGTCTAGATCTCTTTTCCTTTCTCAGTCACATATGACTCATGTGATGTTCAATAAGAAATGGCTGAACAAGTCATCAGGTCATTCAATCTCAATTTTTGATTTTTAAGATGCAATTTTATCCCTTGGATAAGTGATTGCACCTTCACCACCAATATACCACAGAATCTTCGCCATTGTTGTACTAAAAATCAACAATGAAATGTTGAGAATATAGGATGTGACTTGTGACTTGTGAATATAGGACGTCACGCCAATGAAATGTTGAGATCAGGCTTGACTAGCAATGTAACGTTCCAAATTTCCAAGAAAAATTATCAAAACAACAAAAACTATGAGTCCTTTGAATTAAGTAGCAAAGTCCTCTTTGGTGGCCCCCACTTAAGACCCAATGAGGTCTTCTCTTTGAATATGAATAATTTGCTTCATGCGGTTGTTGTTTGCCGACTTCTCAATTTCTAGTGGTCTCCTAGTGGGCTCCTTATTTGCTTCATGCGGTTGTCTATTTAGTGACTTAGAGCATCCATAATGGGTTCTTTAAACCATCTCTTTAGACGAATTTTAGGGAGGAATTCTTATCAACCTCCTAAAATAGGGAGATCTCTAAGAGTCTTAAACCTGTGGAAAGAAAAAGGACTCCTAGTGGTTTCCTATAATTTAATGCTATTTTATTTTATGATTATTTTAAACTTTTAATTAATGTTATCTATTTTTATATTATTTTTAAATAGAGATGGACCAATTAAAAAAGAGTTATAACATTTATGACTCGCTAATCTAGAGACTATATATATATATATATATATATATATATATATATATATATATATATATATATATATATATATATATATATATATATATATATATATATATATATATATATATATATATATATATATATATATATATATATATATATATATATATATATATATATATATATATATATATATATATATATATATATATATATATATATATATATATATATATATATATATATATATATATATATATATATATATATATATATATATATATATATATATATATATATATATATATATATATATATATATATATATATATATATATATATACAAACCTATGAGATAACACATACACAAAGCAACATTGCCAGTGCAACCTTATAACTTAATGGCTCATGGCTTCCTCCTCTTCCTCTTATTCTCTTACATTATATCTATAAATATTTATGCCTGCAACCAAACTGAACGCTGCTCCCTCCTGTCCTTTGCCTCCACTCTCTCTTCTCCTCCTTTAAATTGGACATCCCTTGATTGCTGTCACTGGAAGGGCATCACTTGTGATCAAGATGGTTGGGTCACCCATTTGTTCTTACCTTCCAAAGGGCTCAAAGGAGGTATCTCTCCCTCTTCACTTAGAAATCTCACACATCTCACCCACTTGAACCTTTCCCACAACTCACTATATGGTTCACTTGAGACTCAATTCTTGTTGTCTTTGAATCGTCTTGAGATCCTTGATTTGAGCTATAACCATCTTTATGGGGAGCTACCACTTTCTCTACCATCCAGAAAAATCCGATAGTCGATTTGTCGAGCAATCATTTCTTTGGTACAATTCCATCTTCATTCTTCCAACAAGCAAACAACTTGACTAGTTTCAATGTCAGCAACAATACCTTCATAGGGTACGTCCCATCCTCTATTTGTCTCCATTATTCTCCCTTTGTTAGGCTATTGGACTTTTCTTCCAATGCATTCGGTGGCAACCTTGCTATTGGGCTAGGGAAGTGTTCTGAACTACAGGTTTTTCGTGCTGGTCACAATAACCTTTCAGGGTTACTTCCAGAAGATATCTATAATGCTACCAAACTTGAAGAAATTGCATTACCTATCAATTCACTATGTGGAGCCATTAGTGATAAAATTGTCAACCTCACCAACCTTAAAATCCTTGACCTCTACCTTAATCAATTGAGCGGCAAGCTTCCTCTAAATTTGGGGAAGCTCTCCAAGTTGAAGTTTGTGACCATTGATTTCAACAATTTAGAAGGTACTTTTCCCGCATCTTTGATGAATTGCACAAACCTTGTAGAACTACGTTTGGGATTTAACAACTTTGAAGGAGATATCTCCATGCTTAATTTCTCCAAATTTAGTCAACTTACAAAACTTGACCTATGGTCCAATAACTTTATTGGTATGTTTCCAGTAAGTCTTTACTCATGTAGGTACCTAAAAGCCATTGCATTGACTGGAAATCATCTAGAGGGACAAATACAAACTGAGATTCTTTCATTGAAATCCTTGTCCTTCCTCACCCTTGGTTACAACCGATTCACCAACCTCACAGGCACAATGAAGATATTGATGAGTTGCAAAAGTCTTCACACACTCTCGCTTATTGGTTCCTTTTTTGGCGAGGGAATGCCATTTGATGATGGCATGGTTGATTTTGACGGATTCCAAAATCTTCGGCTATTGAATATGGCTGGTTCTAACCTCACTGGTGAAATACCTATATGGTTATCAAAGCTCAAGAATCTAGGGATCTTGGCTCTGGCTTTGAATCAAATCACCGGGCCAATTCCAAGTTGGTTGGGGAATCTTCCTAGACTGTTTTTTATCAACTTGTCATATAACCGAATTTCAGGTGAATTTCCAAAGCAACTTTGTAGACTACCAAGGTTTGTGCATGAACCTATTGCATCTCATGTAGACCAATATGAATTTGAATTGCCTACCTACAACAACGTAACTGTAAATCAAACTTTTCTACAATTTAAATTGTCTTTTGTTCCGGCAACGATAGACTTATCTAACAATAACATTGTTGGTGATATACCTACTGAGATCAGACAATTGCACCTTCTCTACCAGTTGGCTCTTTCCTCCAACAACTTCTCCGGCGTCATTCCAGACCAAATATCTAACCTAAAAAATTTAGAGGTTTTGGATCTCTCCATGAATCATTTGTCTGGAAGAATTCCATCGTCATTGGCAAGCCTTAATTTCTTGAAAAAATTTAATGTGTCATACAATAATCTTGGAGGACCAATTCCAACAAGCACTCAGATCCATATATTTGGTTGTATGTGGTTCTTTGGTTGTTAACAAGACATGGAGATACATATATTTTCGATTCATCGACAATATACAAGATAGGTTGTATGTAATGGTAACAATGCGCATCAACACAATGAAAAGAAGGCTTAGAGGCTAGACTTATATTATTGTAGTTTATATTTTACATTTTTTGTTTGCTTTTCTTTTTTTCTTTCTTTTCTTTTGTGTTCCCATTGTAATAAGGCACAGTTTGTTCTTATAGTTATGTCTTCTTTTTCGGATACGATTTCCTCACGCTGGCTTTTGCAAGCAACAAAAACGACAGGTTGTGGCTTTGAAAAATCATGAATACAAAAATGGGTATAAAAAAAGATTAATGCAACACAGGTCAGTCCGCAGGCTTATGAAAGCAAAGCAAGAAACAAGTACAAACTTCCACTACATATTGTTCTTTATACTGGCAAAACCGACATATTTGGCTATCCAAGTCAGTCCAAATATATTTTTATGGATGCAAAGAATTGAGTGAAACAAACTTAATTTGACAGAAGGACAATACAATAATATTCTTTGAAATTAAACTTTCGGCAAGGTTCCATCCGAATGCTATTTGAGATATTAAATCTTGGTGATTCTAATGTGAATGTGACTTCATATCCTATTTTATTGGTACAAGTGCAAGGCTATGGCTATATGGCAGAGGTAGAGTTTAAAATTTCGGGGGCACAAGCTTAAAACTATGGGATTTTTTGTGCAATCTATACTATACTCTTTATACATTCAAAGAGGTGAGAAAATGGTGGGGGGGCCCAGGCCATCTCAGGCCTATGAATAGCTCCGCCCTATATGAAAGAAAGTTAATGCTCCCTCAGAGCAGGTGTGCAAAGGGAGTATGCAAATAAGACTTGTGGACAACCAAAGACTAACCAAACACACTAAGTAGAACAAGAACACTCAAGAAAATCTAGAAGCTAATGTTTCCGAGGAACTAGTTTCCAGAGGCTAGATTGTACAGTTCCAGTTCCAGTTCCAGTTGTGTTTCCTTACGTAACAGTATGTTCTCATAAACTGTCACTTTTTACAATTCCAGTTGTGTTTCCTTACGTAACAGTTTGTTCTCATAATATGTCTTCTTTTTCTTCCGTACTATATATTCCTCAAGGTTTTCTATGAGGGTTGAGCCATGCAAAATGAATAGGGCATCAATTAATGTTGAGATTAGGCATGGATATTGTCAATTTGACGCATATGCCGTATGCGACTAGCCATTTGCGACAGTTGGAAGAAGAAAAGGACGTAAAAATCTTTCCAACTTTTTCAACGCGGTTCCTTTTGCTGGCAGCAGGGGCAAAGTGCTTCGATTGATCGCAAGCTTTGAAAAAAGGAGGTCCTCTCACCGTGGAGGGCCCCTCTTTAGACCTAATAATGTCGTCTACAATTTGGCTACAATATTAAAGGGGTTTTGGAGAATTTGTATTCTATGGTTATGGTTGTTTGACAATTTCTGAGTCTTAAAAGTGATGTTTTGCCGCTTTAATGATGCATTGTTTTCAAGCTAAAAGAAAGAGAGTCTGCAACCACGCATTGACAATTTCTGAGTAGGCCCTGCGAGGACGTTCCAGCACATAACAGCAAGCCCGGGCAAGGTGTGGAGCCCACCAACCCTGGAAAGCCCACGGGGAGAAATGGCCCGAGCTGCTGCCTTCGGGCAGCTTACGTCGTCGTTGATGCCACACTGGCCTCAAGGCAATAATTTGAATATTTTTTCTACTGTTGGCGCATGAATTATGTTAAAAAAATTGAAAAACTTGCACTGACGCCAGTGGCTCTAAGCCACGTGGTGACTCCAAGAGTGTTTGATCTAGAGTTTGTGCTCCAATCCAATGGCCAAAAAATTTAAAAAAATATTGAAAAAATTTGTAAAAAATACCAAAAACTTCAGAATTTTTTTATTCTATAAATACCAACCAATATTATTCACTTTCCACACCAAATCTTCATACAAATTCTTCTCCTTCCAATATTATTCACTTTCCACACCAAATTTTCTACTACTCAATTTCATTTGTGTAAAAATACAAATGGTCTCTTCCATCGAAGCCAGAGGGTCGTGGACAAACGTTCAGAGCGGTCAAAATCTTGACGACGAGGTAAAAATTTCTAATTGCCGTTTTATTCAATTAATGTCATGTTTTTTTGTTATTTTCTTGCATTTCCAATTTAATTTTTTTAATAGATTATTCAAGGCAAAACAAAAAAGAGGAAAACCATTACACATGGCTCCTCAAGTGAACAATGCCCACAATTGGTTCTTGTGGTGCGTTCCGTGTTGGAAATAATGGCACTATTACGTCATCCGAAAGAAAGTACTCCCCCAAGTTTGATCTGGTGGAATCGTCTCCGCCAATGATTGAGTCGTCCATGTACTCGATTGTGTCAGACTATGAGGACCAGGAGTATTTCAATTGTATGATGAGTGAGATGTGAATTTTATAATAAATATGGACACGTGGCAACCGAAAATTTTAGCCAAAATATGAGAGCAGAATTTTATATAAAAAATTGACATGTGGCAACTGAAAATCATATCCAAATTAATTGTTTAAGTATAAAAAATAAAAATAAGTTACAATGACTAGTAATTGCCCTTTGCCATGGCAATGGGTGGAAACACACCTTGCCTTTTGCAAGGGCTGTCACTATTAACGTGAATAGTATTTGCCCTTGCCCCCCCTTGACCTTTGCCATGACAAATGGGTGGAAGTGCTCTTAAAAGTGATGTTTTGCCACATCATTGGAGACAATATCAAAATGTGTGCCCGTGATATACTATATGTTCTTCCTAGCATTTTTCTTTTTTAAAACCCCAAAAATCCTTCGTTTTGAATGACTACTCCATGTATGCTACGCTACATTTTTAATGTCTTCATGTGGGGCAAAGAACTTGGAAATATATCTACAACAAAACAACTTGTAACTTGGACTTTAATTCACAGGAAAGATGCACATATCCGCCAGCTCATCCTCTCTCTCTCTCTCTCTCTCTCTCTCTAATTTGAAGAGATTTTCCCTATAGTGTTGGTCTAAAAATGAAGGTAACATTCTTTAAAATAGTTTGAAATGTTATGTTATGTTGTCAAACTTTTAATCTGACCACGTATTCAAATATGATTTTGCCCAATCAACAACCTTGTTTAACAGTTTGACAAATGAAAATAGGCAAAAAGAAACATAAAAGCAAAGTCCCTCAAGGCCAAACCGCAGCAAAAGACGCGATTTCGCAGCCTGGCCAGTGACGAGCACAGCAGGAATTAAATTTAAAAAAAAAAAGGGGCAGCGGTCGTAGGCACCACCGCTAGCAACGGCAGCAACCACGGTCGCGCAACCACCATCCCGTCGTTCCAGCCTCAGCATCACGACGACAACCGGCAAACCAAGGTTAGCCGGTCCTCACCGAGAAGAGCGTAAATAATCACGGCAACTGCCGCCGTCGCACCTGGTCACGACAACAACTAGCCAGGACCACACCAGCTGGTCCTCGCCTCGAGAAAAAAATTAAATAAAAATAAAAATCAAAGCATGACCTACCTTAGTGTGCACAACAACTCATCTCCTTGACAAATAGTACACTCCTCCAAGATTTCTCTCACAAGTTAGAAAGTAGAGGAAATCAAGTTTGCAATTTGAAGAGGAGTGAAGAGAAACCTTGTATTTATAAAGGTTGGGTATCCCAAGTCAATAAGGAGTCACAAGCTTATTCCAATTGGGAGCCCAACTCCAAGAAGAAGTCAAAAGCCTACTCCAATTAGAAGCCCAACTCATTAAAGATACTCAACTCGCAAAAGGAAGCCGAGATGCAATTGGAAAGCTCGATAAATATTTCTCATCTCCTCCAAGCTTCACAAGCGCCATGCAGAAGCTGGAGGGCATTTGTGGGAACACATATTTCGACGACCAATAAGAAGGTGACATGTGGAAAAAGGAATATTTCTTAGGTCAAATAATATTTCGACGACCAATAAGAAGGTGACATGGGAACACATATTTTAACGAGGCCACCTATATACACATACCTTGTTGATGTAACCCAATCTTGTTGATGTTAATGATAAGTCGATCTTTCGCTAAAAAAATAAAGTGCAATCACTACTACAAAAAGGGAAAAAGACAACTAGAAAAAAACGACGGAAGAAAAAAATATCATCGTTGTGTTTCAAAAGACGACGGTAATAGAAAAATGACATGGATCATCTACTTAAACGTTTAAAAAATGGGGAACCTCTAGAGTAAATTATAAACACGACGCATAAACTTAACAACCGTCGTCTTATTAAAGTTGTTTTTTCATGACTTAAATTCTAAGCTCAAAATCAACGACAGCAAGTAGAAACCCACCGACGTAGAAAGTAAAAACGACGATTTGCCAAAACTACCGCCGTATTAACTGCTAAGTAAACACGACCAACTATTCTTAATCAGCGTCGTATAACTTTATTAAAATCCACATCGGTATGTCAGTAACCAGTGCCGTATTCAAGCCATGTACCACAACGGTAAAGATAAAAAGATTGACGTATAGGATCTGGGAACCACGACACTAGAAGAGTAGATAACGACTTCTAAATTCAAAAATATCCACGTCATATTTTTACTATATAAAGAACATTTAAATTTGTAAACCACGACGGTCGATTTCTTCACTTATAGCACCGTATAACTTTTCTTTACAACGTCCATTTTTTGAAAACTACTATCGTATTTATTTCTATTATACGTCTGCCTTATCAATAAACCGTCATAACAGATAATTGCATATGAGATTCCAAGATATATGAAATCTTACCAGTGGTAGCTTTGTGTCTCAACATAATCGAACCACAAATATGAGAAAGTCAATATTTTAGATATTGATGACGTGTGTGTCTTTGTGTCTTTGAGATACACAAAGGCACATAAGTATCAAAATCCAAACTATTTGCCTCTAAACCAAACCAGGAACTTTAGAGAGAGAGAACTGAGAAAGACAATTTTTTGAAAGTTAACAATGT